GACTTCTTTACCCACAAACGGCGGTAAGTAAAAATTAAAGGCGCCTGCTCTTCATAATTTCATCTATAACTCATTTGTTGTTTTAATTTTCTGCTTTAGAGGTCTAAATATGTTGGTCTTATCGGCTTTCTCAACTTTTCTTTTTAATTCAAATTATAGAAATAACGTCTCATCCACCGACGACAATGCAGACTTCTTTACCCACAAACGGTAAGTAAACCTGCTCCTGTTCTTCTTAATTTGATCTAGTATTTATTGCAGTTATTTTCAAAGGTAAAGATTTGTTGGTCTTACCTTGCCTAACGTTTCCTTTAATTCAAATGATAGCAACAACATCTCATCCACCGACGACAATGCCGACTTCTTTGCCTACAAACAGAGGTAAGTACAGCGTCTGCTCTTCATTATTTGATCCAGTATTTATTGTTAATTTTCTGCTTTAAAGGTCTAAATATGTTGGTCTTATCGGTTTTCCTGACTTTTCCTTTTAATTCAAATGATAGAAACAACATCTCATCCACCAACGAAAATGCAGACTTCTTTACCCTGCACAAACAACGGCGGTAAGTACAACGTCTGCTCTTCATAATTTGATCTAGAATTACCGTAAAATTCCGAAAATAAGCCCCTCCATGTAAAAGCCCCTCCAAATATAAGACCCCCAAACCGGTAACGCAAAAAACCCTCCGTTAAATCGCCCCTCCAGATATAAGCCCCCCGGGGGCTTGTACTTGGAAAATTGCCCTCAAATACAAAGTAAAACAAAGCTAAAATGGTACATTTACTTCCAACTATAAGGCTAGCCCAATCGATTTTGAAACGCAAATATCCCTCCGGAGATACGCCCCACCGTATATAAGCCCCTACAAAAATAAGGCCCCCAAAAAAGGGCCGTTGAAAAATATAAGCCCTGGGGCTTATTTTCGGAATTATTGGGTAATTATTAATTTATTAAAGGTCAAATATGATGGTCTTATTGGCTTTCCTGGCGTTTCTTTTTATTATTCAAATGATAGCAACAACATCTCATCCACCGACGACAATGCAGAATTCTTTACCCACACACGGCGGTAAGTACGTTTGCGTCTGCTCGTCATAATTTCATCGCGATTTGCTGTTAATTTTACGCTTTAAAGGTCTAAATATGTTGCTCTTTATAATATTCCTAACGTTTCTTTTTTGATTAAATGACAGCAACAACGTCTCAACCCCAGACGACAATGCCGACGACTAATTTACCCACAAACGGTAAGTAAACGCCTGCTTCTCAGGTATTTATTGTTAATTTTCTGCTTTTAAAGGTCAAAATTTGTTGGTGTTATCTTTGCACGCGCTTAAGGACTGGTGGGATAAAAGCAATGTCACGTGGTTTTTAAGGAGGCAGGCTAGTGATTGACATCTGCGAATACAAGAAAGTGTGGTCGAGTTTGCTTGTTCTAGACAACAGAAAACAAACAACTTTATTATATGACAGAGTGAAGATTCGACTTGTGGGACATTAAATTACAGAAAAAAAAATTCTTCAACACCAACAATTTGATGAAAGTTTGGCAGAGCGTTTGGTGAACCTATCCGCATCCCTTCATCAGTGATGAAGTTTGCTGTTATTGTCAGCCTCGTTTTGACGAGGACATAAACATTCATGCCTGGCGACCGAAACCTACAACCTTCCCCCAATAGGCCATTTACATGATGGCATCACTTTACTACAACTATGACCAGGATCCTTCAGGGTTTTGCTTTCATGTGCAAATTAGGGCTTTTGTTATTTAAACCTCACCGGGGCTACCAAATTTAAATATGAAAAGAAAAACGAAAAGAATTCTGGTCGTAGTAGTAAAATGACGCCATTGTGCAAATGGCGTATTTATGGAATAATTTAGCTGTCTCATCAAAACGAGGCTGCGCATAACAGCAAACGTCATCACTGATGAAGGGATCTGAATGGGTTCCGAAAGCTCTTAACAAATTGTCGGTTGAAGAATACCTCTTTTCTGTAACTTATATGTAAAACTTTAATGGCAAATTATGGGCGGAGGTGATCATCGTTACTTTTTTAGATGCACTGGCGACCGTAGATGTCCTTACAGCAAGCAATAGTAACGTAAAACTTGTCAAAACTCGAGCCGTAGATTCTGCATGACTATTAATCGCCGTCTCGTTTTAAGGGAATAAAAATTCTCGACCCCGATTTTCTTCTTTTGTCCGCGGTTATCTTCTTTTGTGCCCTGAAATATCACGTGACATTGCTTTAATCCTATCAATCCTAAAGTGCGTGCAAAGATGCCGGGTTTTTTTGTGAATAAGGTCTATTTTCTGCCCAGTTTTGTCAACCTAATATGATTGTTTTCTTCTTTGAAGAACCAGTGATCGAAACATCAGGTTTTCAATCTTTCAAGTTCTGTGGTCAATTTAATCTCTAAAGTTCGATACGTCCGTCAATATTCATGAGCGGCAATCAGATCGTAGACGGATGTATAGAAAGTAGCCTTTTCCAGGCTTCAAGTGGTAATGAGCAGAAACTGTGAATCTGATGCAAAAAAACGCCACTTCTCCAGAACACGTGCGTCTTATTTTTGCATGCCTTGTTTTGGCGACGACAAATCAGTTCATTTTTTTGCAGGTCCTGTCATCCCATCACTTCCACCAACGCCTCCTCCTCCCACTACTCTTCCATCTATTCCGTCTAACACTCGTGAGTAGTATTCCTTTTACTCAGTACTGCATTGCATAGATTAAATGAAGATGACAAACCTGTGTTGTACTACTATATAAACATACCATAAATCCTCTAGTAAGCCCCTCTTAAGTAAGTCCTCCCTCTCTAATAATGAGCCCCGCTTTTCATGGGAAGAAAGCAAGAGACTATAAGTCTCTTGGAAGAAAGTTTTTAAGCCCCCTCCCTCTCTTTTAAGCCCCCCTCTCCTCCCTCCTTTTTTCGGTACCAAATTAATACAAGATGGACTGATTCGGTATGCCTTATTCATATGCTAGAAGTGCGGATTTGTTTAGATCTTCGGCTGCAAAACTTAACGTCATGTGCTTGAGATTTTCCACTTTGCGTCCTTGTTCTTTATGGTAAATTGATGCCAACTTCTGGTTGTTTGAAAAAGCAGTATGATACCCTATTTTGGTAAATTATTCAAGCCCCCCTGTCAAATCCCTATTAAGCCCCCTTTCAAACTTGCTTGAAATAAATAAGCCCCTCGGAGGGCTTAATAGAGGATGTACGGTACCTTCATCGTTGTGTTATAGAGACTACTCCAGCAACGCCGCCTACTCCACCAACGCCGCCTACTTCGCCCAGTCCGCCAACAGCCAGTAAGTTACGATTCCATTGTTTTGTTGATTTTTTTGTTTTGGTTGTTTCACATTCCTCTTGAAGGCTACAGATTCTTCATACAACGAGGATGAGTTGTTTTTTCTGTTATGGTACCGTCAACAATGTTCATGAAATTCATGAGACTTGTAGTTTTCACGCATAGATTGAGGTCATGTTTGCTTTAGAATAGAGATATTTAGAGCCACAATTACGCAGACAATGCGTGCCACGTGATCACGTTGTCCCTTAACGTATCGACTATTCTCTACATGGACATAAAAATAAGTAGTTTCATGTCATTTTCATCCATTAGAATGGCTTGCTTAAATTGTGATTTAAGCGTCTCAAATTACATTTCTAACTACGCTTGACAACATTTTCAGAACCAAAATCATGTGGAATAAGGAATGCCCATGGAAGAATCGTGGGAGGAACTGTAGCACTAAAAAATAGCTGGCCATAGCTGGCTATGTTAATTTCATATGGAATCCAGTTTTGTGGAGGATCATTAATACATCCTTTTTGGGTGTTGACAGCTGCTCACTGCATCGAACATGAATCGACAGCGAGTTTCTATATCAGGTGATTAAAATTCACTATCTAACTAACAGTGCTTCAAACGTAACGATAGAAGGATGAGTATCAAGAAATATCTATTTCCTCTTTTGCAAGCACAACTAACAAATAATGGAGACCAGGGGCATCTTTTGATTCTAGGACGAGTATGACTACACTCCGCAGTGTGCGCGCTTGAACCAGCGTCATTTTGGCGGGAAAACGCGATAGCGCCTTCGTCATTCTGCTACGGGTTTTCGGGAAAATCAGGATTTCGTAGTGGCGAAAACAACTTAACAAAAGGTAGAGATTTAATGTCAGTTTAAAATCGGGAGACGGGTTAACCTTCTTCAATTTTTGAATAATCATGTTGACTTTTCTGTTTAAAAAAAGTAAAGTGAGGCTTTTCGGGTTGTCTTTTTTTGAGAATGCACGAAGAAAGCTGTAAGTCAAATTTCGTTGTCGTAGTTGTCCTCGTCCTAGAATCTAAAGGTGTCTAGTATGAAAATGCGAGAAGGCAAACAAGCAATAATCGAGGTCTTTCAGTCCCCTGCAATGTTTTTTTGGTATAAACCACTTGAAACGAGTTAAAAATGCGCAAATAATTTTAAGGGTCCAGTGTTCAAATAATGATAATGATAATAAAGATAACTATTCAGTTGTTATTTTACTTTCGCCACCATGTAATGCATGTTACAATAATAAAATACTAATTGAAACACCAAAACACCAAAACACCAAATATTAATTTAAGGGCGAGGGCAGAGTAACAATATGTGTTAATGAGGTAAAAACTTAAAATAGATTAAAACGATAAACGGAGGGGGATCGAGGGAAAAGAAAAAGAAGTGTTAAAGGTAAGGTCTTTCTTCATTTTGTTCGAAAAAGTTGATATGCTGAGTGAGCTTTGAATGTATGGGCTTAGAGTCGACTTATAGAGTTTAAGAACAAAGGAACTTGGTGAAAAGAAGCGACATTCCCCGGAATTGTAACTGATATCTGATTCCGTAGTAGATAATGATAATAACAATGATAATAAACTGTTATCTGGTAATAAAATGTGACACAGAGAGCTTTTTCTGCTGATTGTAACATTTTTATGATTTTTTTTTTATACTAAAGGCTTGGAGCATATAACAGATCAAACGCCGACACAGGAACAGAACAAGACGTCCGTGTAGCGAGGATTGTTGTTCATCCAAATTACAACAAACCAATTCCGCTATCTAAAGACATTGCTCTTCTCAAAACCCGCCAGATTGGGAAAAGGAATTGGAGTTGTTTGTCTAGAAGACTATGAATACGATCTCCCGATAAATAAGCACTCAAAATGCTATATCACTGGATGGGGAAAGCTGTCGTCTGGAGGAGGCCAGCCAGATGTATTGATGCAGGCTTCAGTTCCACTAGTTTCAAAAGAGAAATGTCTTGAAACTTACCCCAATCAAATCGATGATTCCATGTTATGTGCTGGGCTGGATAAAGGAGGCGTGGATGCTTGTCAGGGTGACAGTGGAGGGCCGTTAGTCTGCGAGCACCACCATCATTGGTACCTTGAAGGAGCCACAAGCTGGGGGTGGGGATGCGCGAAACCTGGAAAATATGGCGTTTATGCAAAAGTACGACATTTTAGAAGATGGATAATGGATACAATAGACCCAGGAAGCGGTATGGTAGAAGATGACCTACATTATTTAACCGGGGATGCTATAAAACTTGAAACTCGATCGCCAACTAGTCATTTGTTACTATTTTAAAAAGACAACGGCTGACTCGGTACATGGTAGATTATAAAGCTGATGCGCATCTGCCTCGTTCCCAGTCACTGGCGATCACTTTTTAAATTATTTACCGGCCGCGTATTGAATGAGAAGAGCACCAGGGGCTGCAAATTAAGTCTACTCGTTGTTTTGAGAATTCGATGAACTGTGCATTGCGTCAGTTATATAGTACTTACGATAGTATTTTCACTATTTTTCTGTATTTTGGGGAATCAATTGCGACTACGAGGGCAAGTATTGCACCTACAACTTCTCAAGGTAACAGAAGAATTCAATTTGTTCAAATCTAAACTACAATGGTTTGCCTTCTCCCTTAATGCAAATGTCTCTTAAAAGTTTTTGTTTGGACGATTCCATCGGGGGGGGGATACTGCCATATATGGGCTATATAGGTATGTGCCGCTATGAAGGGTATGGTTTTCAAGCAGTTTACTCTAGGATAGGGTATATAAATCAGAGCGTTTGGGTCTAGAATAGGGTATCATTTTTCAGGAAACTGATCAGTTGGTTGAAGATTTTATTAAGACTAGGGACTGTGGTATAAGGTTTTGTTTTGGCTAGACTGTGCTAGTGACCTCAGTGGTTTCTAGAAAACAGCTACTCTAGGATAGGGGGGATTTGGGGAGTTTACTCTAGTATAGGGTAGCAAAATTCAGCTGAACTAGCTCTGGTATAGGTTAAGGGTTCCAGGGTCTCAGCGGCACATCCCCACCCAGAAATTCCCAAAGTTCTTCCCCCCCCCCGGAAGGGAAGATGCAAGGACGAGACAACAACAAGCCTTTACTGTGACCACAAAAAAATTGAAAGTGAAGAATTCACGACTTCAATGATCTAAAACAGCAAACTCTATATTCACCTTATATCATGAACATGTGTATGGACCATTACTAACACCGAAAACAGAAACAAATATAGAAACCTTACAATTTTTTTAAAAGGTGATTATATGGAAATTTCATATATTTGAGCTGCGGAAGAAACATGAGAACGTTTAATTATAGCTCAAACATATGGAATTTTTCTTCTACGGGCTTTTCACGAAATTATCACGTTTTCAGCTGCTTGAGGTAAGAGCACTGCACAATTACCGCAGCTGATGTTATAGGTTCGAATCCGGTTCGGCCCTGAATTTTAAAATACACGATTCTATCTTTCACGAAAACCTTTTACATTGCTCCTTCAACTAAGATCAGGGGCAACCAACGATGGTTTCCTCCTAAATAGATTGAAAAAACTTTTTAGGCTATTCAGGGTAATTTTAGATCTGTAGAAATGCATATTTAGTGGCGCTATAAAATTTGTGTCTGTTAGGTCATGCTAGGGGAACTTGAGACTTTTTGAAATTACGAGGGCTTCAGCATCATTTTCCCCGAAAATTTTAGATGCAATTAACGCTAGATTATTAAGAAAGTGAGATTTTTTTACTGATTCCTCTTTCCATCACATTTTTGAATCCGAAAATTTTAGGTTTCTTTTTTTCTGCGAAAAAATAGGCGGCCTAACCTGAGGAGTTAAATGTGAAAAATTAAACTTTAAAAAATCGTAGAGAGGTTATTAGATAAGCTTTGAAAATTGTACATGAATGGAACGGCCATCTAGAAATTTTTAGCCGTCCTCAAGTAACAGAATATTCTAGGCAACAGAAAACAGTCGTTGGGTGCCCCTGTAAGATTTATGGACTTCTTCAGCCCGAAACGTTTATATTAGGAGGTTTTTAAACACTTCATCGGCTGGGAAAACTACAGCATTATATAGGACGTTTTCACTCGCGTCAGCTGTCACGTGGCCAGCAGCTATGAAAAAGTTTTTGGGACAACAAGAATAACAAGAATGTTTTACATAACACGAAGGTTCAACTCCCACATGACTAGAAATATTTTTTGCCCAGTTTTGCTGTGGAAGCGTGAATTCATCCCTCGAGGAACTCATAAACTTTAACTTCATATTTTTTTTTCAACTCAAGGACTATTCAGATAGCAAAATCTCCCAAAATAATTCATTCCCCCCCCCTACTTGACAGCTCTCCCGGCCATCACCAACACGTAAATCAGCTAGGTAAATGCTCCCTCTCCCCTCGCGTGTCTCCCTCGCGCGCGTTTTTTCTTGCGCCCATTTATTTCCTAGCGCCTGCTACGCAGGCTATGCCGCATCACGCAACAGGTTAGAAATTCAAGCCCACTCTATCACAAAGCAAGAACCTTTTCTATTTGTTCTAATTGTAATAATTAACAAAAGTAAAAGCTCGGCAGTTGTAACAGTTTGAATTTTGGTTACGTCATGTAGAAAAAATAAGAATGTGCGGAAGTGACGTCATGTGAAAACGCTCTAGAAGTTTCAACGCTTGATGAAAGTCGATTCCAAAATGACGGGGTCACAAAGAACTGAATCTGCGCTGCCTGTGGAACAGTTTTTAAGAGTTGCCCCATTAGTTTACCCCTTGGATCCACTCACACCAGGGAGCCATTTAGTTACCAAATGACACACTGCTTATAATTAATACTTTTATGTATATTTGTAGGCTAAAATTGGGAACAGGAATCATCTCAGCGATATCGACGCAAACGAAATGATGCTCCTGTACAAATGTAAGTCCACAACTGACCTTCTAATCATTTTTAAATGTACTGGAAATGACAGAGAACTTTCAAAACTATCTGTTTTCATCAAGAAACGAAGTCAAAGTTACGTTATACGTCGTAACTGAAAAAAAAATAACCGATGGCCGTAGAAGAAACAAAAGTTTAGCCCATATGAACCGTAAAAGCCCCCATCCAATTGACAACTTCTTGTACTTGCTGCTGCCAAAATAGACTACAGTGTTAATTGTGAATCAAAGTAAATATAAGATTGCACTACGCTAAAACTTCAAAACATGATAGACCTTCTCAAGTATTTTTGTGGAGCTGATTATAATTGTAGTTTTAATCATCGCAAATTATTTTGGTTTATCAATCATCAGTTGAACCTGATTTTGCTAAACACTTGTGGTCGGCTTACCTAGTTGACATTCCTAGATTCGTCTTCAAGGCCTTTTAGTGGTGATCGTGTTTCTGCAATTTCCTGGCACGGGAAAACGTGCCAAAGTAATTTTGGAAGAAGGCAATGTTTTCGACTGTTATCGTTTAGATCTTGTTTGTTTGGTTGGTTTTTTCGTAAGCAGCCCCGCTTGACTGCTTTAATTTGTTCTAAAAAGATATCAGAGCTGGAGATACCAGCTGCCAGTGGTCCTTTGGAATCCACTTGGTCTCATCTCTGAAAAGCGCACCAACATCAACGCGCGCAACCTTCCAGTATAACTCTGTCAAATCTTTCGTAAGATAAGATTGTGTTAGAGCAGGAGATTGAGAGGCTAGTAAGCGGTTAAAAATGAAAGAATAAAAGCCTTTTCCTGAAAGGGATCTAGAGTCCTAGTCCCTTATTCGTCCCTTTTTAGACGGGATTCTGTGTGCATGCTACACTCTCGTTACATGGTAGCCTTACTGTCAACAAATATTCAAGATATCCGTTATAATTTGAAAACGAGTGTCAGGGGTATTTTTCTATCCTGATTGACCTTTTTTGTCCACACGCATCGAAGACCTAGAGGCATTTGGGGTTAACCCAGGATGTATAAGTGTTCAGTGGGACAACTCTGTATTTCAAGCATTGATTTTGGAAGCGCAGCGAGAAAATTTTAGAATGTCTCAAGATCATTAAAAGAGTCTCACTTTCCAACAGAAACGGAACGTGTGGGCGGACTAACTCGAGAAATTCTCTGGAAACGGAGGAAAATTGCCGTGTGGACAAATTTCTTTGGAGCTGACGCAGCCGTTTTCTAAAGAGCTGAACGACCTGACCTTGCCCGAGTCACCAGGGCAAAAATAATTGAGACCAAACTTAAAGCAGTAGCTCAGAGCACTAGGTCATCAACAAAGGGCTGACCGTGAGTACCTTGCGCGAGCGCATAGCCGATTACTCTAACAGTGGCACGTATGGTTCGCCATTTAAAATTTTCATTAAGATGAGCACCGACCACCCTAGATTATAAAAGAGGTCACAAACGGCTGCATCGCGCTACCCTTGAAAACAGGGAAATTCATAGAGATGATCTGACTTATAACTACAGGCATTGTAAATTACGAAGTAAAAACGATTGGACACTAAAAGATGCTTTGATTTTTGTCAGAATGGGTAAATATTGTCCGGAATGCATCTAACAAAGGGAACGGCTACAACCTTTCTCTAGGAAATTTTAACAATGGTCACGTGACAAGCCGATGCTAGGGTCTGAACCTCCTCCAGCCTCCATTCAGTGGGAAAACCCACTGAGCAGACGCGGTTGGTTTTTCCCGTCTAACGTGACTTACGCTTATTTCAACATTAAAAATTTTGCATTAGTAGAGGTTTCCAGTCGATTTTCTTCCCTTTATGTCATCGCAGGTAAGGGGGGCGGTGGTGATGGCGGCGGTGACGGCGGCAATGGCGGTAAGTAGAACTCATGTGCTCGGACGAGTTCCCCGAAATGTATGGGAGACTCTTCTTGAGAATATTTGACTGAGATCGGCAAGACATGTGGCGTGATCGCGTTTGATTAACTGCGCATCAGTAAAACCGTTCGTGATTGGATAAAACCTACAGGAGGAAAATTCCTTCTGTAAATTTGGCGCCTTGCAGGGGATAAAAGTCCTTCGCGCTGGGGCGAACAACCGGAACCGGAAATGAGAAGCGAAGGACTTTGACAAAGTCAAGTCATCACGTTTTCAAAGTGTTGTAGATCTACAAATGACTTATTGACAGACTTGAATACTTATAAGCAAACTGGCAAACTTTAGGTTTACAATAACTTATCGATTTCTCGAGCGCTGATTGGTCTAGAGCTATGCTCGATAAGAATGTACAGACCATGGAAATGATATGATGGTGGCGCAAATTGTTTTTCTTTTTCTCGCCCGGCGATTTTCCGAGAAACGTCAACGGAAATGGACGTCAAAACTCTC